TAAGATGCATATTTTCATTGACAAATATATTTAACGCTAGAATACGCAGAGATAAACAATGAAATCACTACTGTGCCTCTTTCATAACTTTAATCACCAAAATTCGTTTCTTTCAAATTTCGCATAGAAAATTAAATACGTCTCTCGCTCAAAACATGGGCTGCACTTTGGCGTGTATTGTATACTAATCGCTACGTGTTTGGTTTAAAACGACGTTTGAAAAATGTATTATTTTTGTTATAGTAAACAAAATAGTATGCAATTAACGAAAACAAAATAGGTAGATATATTGCTGTCTATCGTCACTCAAAATGTTTTTTCTTTATTCATTTATTTATTTATTAAAGATAGACGAGATAACATAAAACGATGACATCAAGCACCTTTGTTTTGAATACTACATTATTTCTTAGATGTAGTAGTAACGTTTGTAGCTCGTCCCTGCTTGTTAGTAGCGTAAATTGTTACATTCTCTTGCGGTTAGCACGCTCGACTCGCAATCTGAGGGTCGCGGGTTCGAATCCCTATCCCACCAAACATGCTTGCCCTTTCAGCCGTGGGACGTTATAATGTTACGGCCAATCCCGCTATTCATTGGTAAAAGAGCAGTCCAAAAGTTGGCGGTGGGTGGTGATGACTAGTTGCCTTCCCTCTAGTCTTTCACTGCTAAATTATGGACGGCTAGCGCAGATAAAAGCTCTCGTGTAACTTTGTGCGAAATTCAAAACAAAACAAACCTCTTGCGGTATTAACCCCTTTCACTACCTGCGGGACTTTTTACCTGATCGTTGTCAGACGATTCTTGTCGTTAAAGGGGAGTCCCTGGGGAGGAAACAGTTAATCAACTAGTTTTTAGGGATCATTCACCAATATTCAAATATTATCCATTTAGTTCAGTAAATCTAAGCTCATTTTTCTAAGATCTTATGATGCGCATGTGCAGTAATTTCTTTTGTATATTTTTTGCATGTTTAGAATAATAGCATTGAATTTTATCTAATGATTAATAACATTCCTGCATTCTACATTTACGGCTAGTACTTGGTTATAATTTTTATACGTGTGTTCGAGTACATATACACGTGCATGTCAGGTTAAACTTGTTCTACAGGCAAATATATACCTGCTATGCACACACGAAATTAGGTAGCAATAGACAAGGGCAAATGTCGGATATTTCGTTAATATGTATTAAAACCAACAAATAAAAAATTAAACTTTATATAACTACTATCTTGTTAACAAAACTATTTAACCTTCTATGCGCATATATCTTATTAACAAACTTAATCATTTATGGATCTATCTTATTAACAAAACTATTTAACCTTCTATGCGCATATATCTTATTAATATATGCATAGAAGGTTAACTAGTTTTTTTAGTAAGATATATATATGTAGAAGATTAAGTTATTTTATCAATACAACAGATGTATTGAAGTTTACCTAAATTCATTAATAAGACAGGTCTATAGAAGGTTAAACAGTTTTATTAATAAAATAATGAATACTAATAAAACTTATTAGATATTATAGAAGTTTAAACACTTTGGCTAATGAGATAGATGTACTGAATTGTAAGTAGTTTTATTAATAAAACAGATACATAAAAATTTAAGTAATTTTGATCTAAGATAGATCTATGGAAGGTTAAATAGTTTTATTGATAAGATATTAATCACAAGATAGTTGGAGTAGTTTTGTTAATAATATAGATATATAGAAAGTTAAATACTATTATTGATAAGATATTAATCATAAGATAGTTGGAGTACTTTTGTTAATAATATAGATATATAGAAAGATAGGTGCATTTGTTAATATATTTCCAGAACCAGAAACTAAAATATGGAATTCTACAACATTCCGATGGTGTTACAAAAAGTATAATACACGTACTGGAAACTAGTCTACCTTATTTTTAACGGCAACGTTATAATGTCTGCATAGTTTAAATCAATTAGAATGAGGATAACAGTCAATATTAATAACTTTCCAAAGCAGATATTTAATATTATAATATTTCTGATTGAAGAAATAAGTGTGCCATGGAAACTATTTAATCACAAGTAAGAAGTTTCTCTATATTTTATATTTGTAGGTCTTAATACATACTGTCCTAATTTCGTGTGTGCATAGCATGTATACATTTGCTCGTAGAATAAATTTAACCTGACGTGCACGTACACACAGGTATAAAAACTATAACCAAGTAATAGCCATAGAATGCTGGAAAGCTATTGATCATTAGTATATAGTTTTACATGTTTAGAATAATAGCATTAAATTTTATCTAAAGATATTTCTCCACAATGCACATCATGAGATCTTAGAAAAATTAGCTTGTAGCTCGTCCCTGCTTGTTAGTAGTGTAAATTGTTACATTATCTTGCGGTATTAACACTTTTTACCACCTGCGGGACTTTTTACCTGATCATTGTCAGACGATTCTTATTGGTGAACGGTAATCCCTGGTGAGGAAACAATTAATCAGCCAGTGTTGAGGGATCATTCACCAATAATCAAATAACACCATTTATTTGAGTAAGTATAATTCACGTTACTACTACATCTAAGAAATAATGTAGTATTCAAAACAAAGGTTTCATGTCATCCTTTTTATGTTATCTTGTCTATCTTTAATAAATAAATGAATAATAAAAAAAAGACAACAAACATTCAGAATGTCCATAGACAGCAATATAGTGTTTTGGTTTTTGTATATTGTACGCTGTTTTATTTACATTTCTACATATATATATATATAACTTATTAAGAAAACTATTCATATTATTATATCCAATATCTTATTCACAAAACCATTTAACCTTCTATACATCTGTTTTATTAACAAAACTACTTACCTTTAATACATCTATCTTATTAACAAAACTACTTAACCTTCTATACATCTGTTTTATTAACAAAACTACTTAACCTTTTATACATCTATTTTATTAACAAAACTACTTAACCTTTTATACATCTATCTTATTAACAAAACTACTTAACCTTCTATACATCTGTTTTATTAACAAAACTACTTAACCTTTTATACATCTATCTTATTAACAAAACTACTTAACCTTCTATACATCTGTTTTATTAACAAAACTACTTAACCTTTTATACATCTATCTTATTAACAAAACTACTTACATTTATATACATTTACCTTTCTAAAAACTCCTTAAAATTATATACATAAATATATCGTCATATAAACACCTAAGCAAGTTTTTTATTTTTGTTCCTTATCATAGATCTTTGTAAACTATTGACTACTACTCTATTATGAAGCTACTATACAGTTTGTAGTTTAATATATGTGCTGAATCACCTGAATAATTAAATAAATATTCGTTATTTAATTCAATTATAAAATATCACTGGAACAAATTGGGCAGTTTCAACTTCTTCAACTTCCAGTTCCCTTTATTTTGACTTTCTCATGAAAATACAGAAGGTAGCGAGTGCAGAGTAAACAGTAAGATGTCCATTGTTTCAGTATTCAACAACACTTCTTCCAATTTATGCACTTTCGGCTAAATTACATCTTTCATTAAAAACCTACATAAGTTTGATATTGTTTACATCCTAAGATACGTAATTATGAAATTTTTATTAATATTTCTGATAATTACGAGTTACAAAAAATAGATCCTTACTTAGAATGATTATTTAAAATGTCTGATGAAAAGGAAGTTAACTACATAGATCAAAAACTAACTTTAATGTTAATGAAGCCGATCCTGTGTAACAGACTAAAAATACTTAACATTCATATATATCAATATACCAGAAAAATGTAGACCAACGATGATTAAAAATTTAGCTTATTAGTTGCATTTTGATCAAGCATTACTACTACAGTACTAATCATTAAATTAGTTTATTAGTTGTACATTGGTCTGGAGTTACTACTACTACAGTACTAATCAGTAAGATAGTTCATTAGTTGTACTCTGGGCTTGTGTTACTACTACTACTGTTACTACAATTCTACTCATTAAGATAATTTATTAGTTGTACATTGGTCTTGTGTTACTAAAGTTCTACTCAGTAAGATAGTTTATTAGTTGTACATTGGTCTAGTATTACTACTACTACAGTGCTAATCAGTTGGTCAGTAAAATAGTTTATTAGTTGTACGTTGGTCTAGAGGTACTACTACTACGGTGCTAGTCAGTAAAATAGTTTATTAGTTGTACGTTGGTCTAGAGGTACTACTACTACGGTGCTAGTCAGTAAAATAGTTTATTAGTTGTACTTTGGTTTAGTATTACTACTACTACAGTACTAATCAGTAAGATAGTTCATTAGTTGTACTTTGGTCTTGTGTTACTACTACTACTGTTACTAAAGTTTTACTCAGTAAGATAGTTTATTGGTTGTACATTAGTCTAGTATTACTACTACTACAGTGCTAGTCAGTTAGTCAGTAAAATAGTTTATTAGTTGTACGTTGGTCCAGAGTTACTACTACTACTACAGTGCTAGTCAGTAAAATAGTTTATTAGTTGTACTTTGGTCTAGTATTACTACTACTACAGTGCTAGTCAATAAAATAGATTATTAGTTGTACTTTGGTCTAGTGTTACTACTACTACAGTACTAATCAGTAAGTTAGTTTATTAGTTGTACATTGGTCTAGCATTACTACTGCTACTGTACCAGTCAGTAAAATAGTTTATTAGTTGTACATTGGTCTAGCATTACTACTACTACTGCACTAGTCAGTAAAATAGTTTATTAGTTGTACGTTGGTCTAGCATTACTACTACTACTGTACTAATCAGTAAATTAGTTTATTGGTTTTACATGAGTTTAAACCCCCTTAACTTGTTATCTAAGTAAACATTATACAAACTGGTTGCAATACGATAAATATAATTTATTATTTAAGAACAGAAGCAGGTAGAAATTTTATAAACATATGTACATCTTATTAGAGAGCCCCATGCTCCAAAAAAGTTGAGAATGCGGTTGAAAACTTACCGATCATTAACAGTGATACAGTCAAGTGCTCTCGGCCCGTTGCTTTAAGTGCTCCAAGTACTGTTCCAACAATGGCGCAGCAAAGTCCTACAAATGCAATCATCACAATAAACCATCGAATGCTAACAGTTTGAGTAACAATCACACCACAACAGTGCTTGGGTTCATCGCTTTCGGAGGCTGCAGCAGCAGTATAGGTAGTTCCTATAGCCGGGGGTCTATTCCTTCCTCGTGGAGGAAAAGGTCGAAATCCACTCCGACCACCTCGTACTGACCTTCCCGCATTAGGAGGTGGACAGAGTGCAGTCATAGGTCCGGCGGGTACATAAACAGGGGGTCCATGGGGTATCGGAGGTGGAGGTGGAGGATGCGTTGGGGGAGGTAAACGTCTATTGGAAGGTGGGGGGAGTGTAGAATAAGGTGGGGGTAGATGTGAGTTAAGAATATCGGGCAAGACGTCTGGATTAGGGGTAGTATCCACTTGAGTATACCCATCTACTGGAAGTTGTGGGTTTTCCCGTCGATCTCCACGTTGTGCCATACTGTTTTCGTTAACTTGACGACCCGTGCCTCCTCTCCTTTCGACGCCAAGGGCGGAGCCAGGATTCTCACTGTTTTGTTGGTTTCTGATAAGGCCGTCTCCTGCTACCGTACCTCGGGCCATAACTTCCGACACTACAGGTGGTCTACCCACGATAGACGTTTCAATTAACCTTATAAAAGATTGTCGCGAACCAACATTTTTCTGATCTGGTTCAGCACAACCCCTGGGGTTAGTCAAGGTAGCTGCGTTCCTTGGGGTGCGTCTTCCAGGAGAATTCGAAAAACGACGCCTCCTCGGTGGTGGTTTTAAAGTGGCGCGAGAACTAGAAGGCTCTGTACAACAAACTGGTGTTTTTACAGTGGTGCCAGAACTAGAAGGCTCTGTATGACAAACTGGTGTTTTTACAATGGTGCAAGAACTAGAAGGCTCTGTACAACAAACTGGTGTTTTTACAGTGGTGCCAGAACTAAAAGGCTCTGTATGACAAACTGGTGTTTTTACAGTGGTGCAAGAACTAGAAGGCTCTGTACAACAAACTGGTGTTTTTACAGTGGTGACAGAACTAGAAGGCTCTGTACAACAAACTGGTGGTTTTACAGTGGTGCCAGAACTAGAAGGCTCTGTACAACAAACTGGTGTTTTTACAGTGGTGACAGAACTAGAAGGCTCTGTACAACAAACTGGTGTTTTTACAGTGGTGACAGAACTAGAAGGCTCTGTACAACAAACTGGTGGTTTTACAAGTGGTGCCAGAACTAGAAGGCTCTGTATGACAAACTGGTGAAGAAGATGAGTTTTCTTTCTCTGAAGCTACTACACCGCACTGAGCTGTGTCACTATAAAACACACCTATCTTTTGTATTTTGTATTTTTTGCGAGCAGCCGTAGATCCTTTTCCGTCCCTATCACACTCAAAATCACCAAGCTCTTGCCTGTGGCTCGAGCTACCAACCACATTGGGATCGTCCCGCGACTCACTAGACCTATCGACTTCCGCACTGAAGCCACACCCCTCAGTGTCCGGCCTCTTGTCCTGGCGAGCTGAAAAGTGACCTATCTTTTTGTCGAGAGCTACAGACTGAGAGGCTGCATGCGAGGCATCACTGTTTTCATTGGATATTAGGTTAAGGTCAGTGGTAGCAGAACTATCCTCTTTAAATAAAAAACTTCCTTCTAACCTTCCGCTGTCGATGTCGCAAGAAACGTTGGGGTATCCCCCCGGGTCAAGTACAGTGGACCCCTGTTGCTCAGACCAATTCTGGGGCTCGACTGAAGACCCACATGTATATGAACAGCTTTCTTCAGATTGGTCTGTATCACTGACACTGTACCTTTCTGGTACGTTCGAAGCTGCAGCAGTATCGAAGCATGACGCCGTCAGAGTTTTCACAGGGACGTAGCGTTGCCTAGGTCGAAATATTTTTCTTCGAACGGGAAGTGATTTGCTGTAGTCTGTCAGACTCAGACTCTCCTTTTTCTCATGACTAATTTCGTCACGACTTCGGGTCAATTTTCCCACTGACTGCTTCACCAAACCCTCACAATTTGTTTCTGCAGTACACTCATCTTCGAACGCAATATTAACTATACCACCATGCAACTGCTCCCACCTCTCTCTTGGCGATAATGTCGATGTCGTCGCTTGAGTTGGCTTCTGATTGGTCATTTCTTGGCAACGCGATCGCTCTCGTGGCTCCATCTCGTGTTCAGATTCTTGTAAAAGCTGCAATAAACTAAAACGCTTTTGGTTCGTGTCGGCATCCTGTTTGACGACAGCAGAATCCAAGGCACTCATCTCCGGCGTACGTTTTTTTTTTCTAAAAAAACTACCCCGACGGAGCGTTACAAATAGATAATGATTTAAAGGCTGAAGGGTTAGCAGCTCACTAGGTTCAACGCCCTTTCTTCATTACACCTGGCCAACAGCAACAAGATAGGTGTGGTGGTCACTCGCTATCTGAAGGAGAAACAAAGAATTAATTCACGGAGCTCCACTACCCTGAACTGAGTATGTTTGAAAACTGAATTAATTAAATTGTAGTTTGATTACAAATTACATTTATCTTTCCTTAACTGACTTTACTGAAATTACTTGCCTTATATTTCAGTAGGGAGGGACACTCCGTTAAAATAACAGTCATATTAGTCAGAGACAGCTGCTGTTAGTTAGTTGTTAACTAAACTTCTTACGAAGTGTTTATTGCAAAAAAATTAAAACTGTAGCTTGGGTGACTGATAAGAAAGATATGTGGAAAACTGACTTTCTGTGTTTGGAAAATACAGCAATTTTGCTCAATGGTGGTTAATACACTCTAAAGTATTATTTGACTTGTCCTACAGTAACTTCTTGTTTTGCTAAAATTCACAATTGTGGCGATAAAGGAGAAATGAATTCAAATTAGTCTGACGTCTCACACCAAAAATCACCTTTGAAAATAGCCATACAATGTTAACTCGAAAACTTATGTTGCAGCCTGTTTACTTTGTATTACTTTTTGAGATTATTTTATAATCATAGAATAAAAAAATAAATATGATATAATGGAACAATACACTACTGAGTATTTTAAAAGAAAGCTATTCACTCAGCAAATGTTTTTCGAAGTTGAGAAACTCTACTAATCCTAAAACTTTTTAGGGATCAGACGTTAGTTAAGTCAGTAGTAATAAAACCATTTTACTTAAACTTAATATGCGAATCATTTAGAAACTTCTTAGAACAGTAGCTTTGTGACCCATGATCAGAAACCTTGGAATTTAAAACAACTTGTTGAACATACATCAGTGGTATAGTTAGGCAATACCTAGCAGACAAGGATACAAGACTACGCATTTACGTATTACAAAATACATGTAAAAAATAGGCCTAGTTAATGGTATTAATGTTGTAGTACAGTCAAAGAAACTAATAACCTCCCTTCGTGTGAAACGTGAAATCATTGTTTTGTTGTTAGGCCTAGTTAAGGGTATTAATGTTGTAGTACAGTCAAAGAAACTAGTTACCTCCATACATGTGAAACGTGAAATCATTGTTGTTGTTGTTAGGCCTAGTTAAGGGTATTAATGTGGTAGTACAGTCAAAGAAACTAGTAACCTCCGTGCGTGTGAAACGTGAAATCGTTGTTGTTACTTCTGCAGAATGATAATTCGTGTTCGTGCTATTTTACAAAAACAATTCCAACTTCAATATTTTCACCCATTAATAAACATATTCCTGTAAGCTACATTCAGTCGCTCGGCTTGCATGTCCATAATTCTTTAAAATTTTGAGTTATTGCTGTGTATTTTAGAAAGATTGCTTGTGTCTGTCATCTATCGACTGCATTTTTCGTCTGGACATACTTCCTCTTTCGCCATACAACCATCATTAGCCACTCCCTACTCCTGAAATAGTAATGGCTGCTATACTGTTAGGCCTGTGGGTGAACTGTGCCAAACCATTACGGCTATTCAAGTATCAATCTGCTGATATCTGTAAATTCAGCACCGTGATGTTTCGCTAGCCCCAAGCATTCACGCTCAGTTGAAAGCCGAGATCAGTAGAAACGCAGGTCTGCGTACGTCAACGACTGCTTTTGACAGAACATCAATTTCACTATATATGAGAAAACTCATTAAATGCTGCAGTGAAGCGATAAAACGGGGTAGGGGCGACAGAAACCTGAAAAGATTTTGTATTCAACCAAATTTTTCAGCAAAGTACGAACTGTTTCAATCTCACATTGCAATATATGTTATTACTGATTCTTCATATGTTTAAATGTTCGCCTCAATAAGCTGAACACAGATTTCAACATTAACGAAATATGCGATGAAATTTATTGTCAACATCTAGAAATATTAGATTCTAATGGCGTTGAAAGACATGCCGAACTAAACTTTTAATAATTGTTCACTTTTACATTTCACTGTTTGTAATATTTGTATTTATACATAATAAACATCATAGTAAGTTTGTAATCTTTGTATTTATACCTAATAACCATGATAGTAAGTTTGTAATATTTGTATTTATACCTAATAACCATGATAGTAAGTTTGTAATATTTGTATTTATACCTAATAACCATGATAGTAAGTTTGTAATCTTTGTATTTATACCTAATAACCATGATAGTAAGTTTGTAATATTTGTATTTATACCTAATAACCATGGTAGTAAGTTTGTAATATTTGTATTTATACCTAATAACCATGATAGTAAGTTTGTAATATTTGTATTTATACCTAATAACCATGATAGTAAGTTTGTAAACTTTGTATTTATACATAATAATAATCATAGTAAGTTTGTAATCTTTGAAATTATATATAATAACCATCATAGTGAATTTGTAATTTAATATATATAATCATTACAATGAGCTTGTCATCTTTACGTGTACACAAAATAATCATAGTAAGTTTGTCATCTTCGTAACTATACATAACAACCATAATAGTAAGTTTGTAACTTCTGTATTAATATATAATAACCATCATAATGAGCTTGTCATCTTTGTAATTATACGTGATAACCATCATAATGAGCTTGTCATCTTTGTAATTATACATAATAACCATCAGTAGAATAATCCATACAAGAGTAGGGAAATCTACTATGGTAAATCGTCTACTGTTAGAAAACGTAGAGACAAAGTACAACAGCGAACTCGAGAAATAATAAATCCTCAATGTGGCAGTTTCCAATTAATGCCCATTAGTAAAACACCCAAATTTTTCAAGTGAAGGACTTAGAGAAAATGTTCAGGCCGAATAAACGAAGGCGCTTGAATTAATTTTAAAATTACCCTATGACATACTCAATAGGTCTGGCATGGCCAGGTGGTTAGAGCGCTCGACTCACAATCTGAGGGTCGCGGGTTCGAATCCCCGTCACACCAAACATCCTCGCCTTTTCAGCCGTGGGGACGTTATAATGTGACGATCAATCCCACTATTACTCGGAAACGCTTCGTTTTATTAGAGTAAACAATGTGAATATTTATAACTGTGTCTCCAGCTTTATTATTATTATTGATTATAGCTTTACAAGCTGCTACAGAAAAAACGGCTACGAATATTTTACTGAAACCTGGACAATTGTGATGAATGCAGTACTGAGAATGTTTGTTTGTTACGGATTTCGCGCAAAGCTACACGAGGGCTATCTGTGCTAGCCGTCCCTAATTTAGCAGTGTAAGACCAGAGTGAAGGCAGCTAGTCATCACCACCCACCGCCAACTCTTGGGCTACTCTTTTACCAACGAGTATAACGGTGTTTAAATGGCTTCTACGTTTCTGCGATGCTGGAATGGGTTCGAAGAGCTTATGTTTGTAGCGAAGAAGAACCTAGAAAATTTCAGAGGGTGGAAATATCGACTTTCAAAAATCAACATAAAAATAGTCCTACAACCTTCGCTGGAGTTTGTTTAGTAGCTGTTCATAGATTTTGGTACAGTATATCTAGCCATTTTTACTGTAGGCTTCGTTGCTTGAATGGCTTCGAAGAAAAACCTGGCCAGTAGCGATGAAAAAACTGATAAAATTTCTCCTTCTTTTTCAAGAATCAACATAAAAATAGCTGCATGATCTATGTAGAAGTTTTTAGTAGGTTTGATCAGGTTTGAATAAAATATTCATAGCCATTTTTCTGTAGGCTTGTGAAACAAGAATAATATGGGATAATAATAATAATATGAAGAACAAATGGATGAATTTTGAAGTTTTTCTAACAATCGGAAAATCATTTTTTTTTGTTGCTATTATCAATATTTAGCAGCCTTAGCAATTGAAATAGAAGGTCTTGAGTGTTGTTTCAAGAACAAGTCTGATTTTTAAGATGGTTTTTGCACGTATTTTCTATTAGAATTTTTGCGAAGTTCCAGGTCGAAATTCATTATGAACCACTATTGTGGTTCATGCTAGTTTTTATTATTATTTTTGTTCAGCATCTCTGTAATTTGTATCTACTATTTACTCTACAACGAAATGTCGCTAAATCAGCAATGTAGAGCAAAATGAATAATCCATAATGCTGACATCAAATACACAATACCTTGTTGAATGGGGCTCCGTAAAAGGTCGTGGTTTGTGCACTTTGACCCCCATCTGTGCACATAGGGTAGATGTGGTTATGTATGTCAAAGTTGGTAAACCCCATGTACACTGCAGTGTCACAATAGGTTGACACGTGCTTTGGTTTGTTTCAACTGGTAGAAAAGTGTACCATTATTGTACCGATCTAAGGATTCGATCTTTAACACAGCGGTTTAAAACCAGTGTTGTAATCAAACTGGACAACAGTTTTTTACGTTTGTTTTCAAATACAGAGGAAAAATATTTCAAACGAAACCTTACTCAATGGTGTAGCTATTTTGAACAGATGGATAGAGCCAAATATACAGAGAGCTAATCGTACTTTATACAAACGATTTGCATATGGAGAAAGCTTGAGAAACCCTGTGCTAGAACATTGTTGCCATCGTGTTGCCATTGGTACAAACTGTAGCGCCACAAACGACAAAATATATATAGTTCAAGCGGATTCCCAAACATTCTACAATGCAAAGCTGCCACGAGCTTGACACACATGGCTGGAAGAATATGTCACTGCTCGAGTTTCACACACATGACTGGAGGGATATGTCACTTCTCGAGTTTGACACACATGGCTGGAAGAATATGTCACTGCTCGAGTTTCACACACATGACTGGAGGAATATGTCACCACCCGAGTTTGACGCACATGGCTGGAGGAATATGTCATTGCTCGAGTTTGACACACTTGGCTAGAGGAATATGTCCCTGCCCTTTTTAAAAAAATGGTATTTTTATAGCGAGGTCGTTGATTCATGTAAAGCCAAAGGACACAAATTTCGAAGACGAATGCTTTAAGTGTTCTCCGTACATGCGGAAAAACTCGAAGAGCAGAGTGTTTCGGAAATTATTGGGCTCCAAAATACACCCATGACAATCCGGAGCAACGCTTTCATCTGTAAAGTGAAAGCTATGGCTACGAAAGGAAACTCCCATGCAAAAGACTATTGTTATGAAGATGAGCATATCTCTGATTACCGGGACTTCAACCTTAGGTTACTGGCTAACAAGACCAGTGCTATCTAAGAATACAAGTCGTCCCCATCAATTTCATGTCCCTAAGACGACCCAAGAAACTGGAATTAGAACAGTCTCAGTACAGCTCCAGTTAACTTTAGTGCTTTTGAAAGTCGAAGTTCGCGTGCAGTAGAAAGTCTGTCAAGATGAATGGTTTAAAACTGACCTCATATTGTTTGTTAAAAAACCAGAAATTACGATGTCGAGTAATAGTTCGTAATTATGGTAGTCAACTGAACACGATTGCCTCTTGATGAAGTAGTTCCAAGAGCTGCCTGCCACATCGTTCTTACACCGTGCAATTAACCCTCTGTGATATAAAAACTGGTAATGCTATTTTGTAGTTATTTTAATTTGAGCTTAGAACCATTTTTTTATTTATTTACAAAAGCGAACGGAGATGGGTGTTTACCACCTGGAAAGGAATATGAACAGTTCTTCAAGTCTTAGAAAAAAGGCTCAAGTCGAAGAAGAATTCAAAAATTGACTGTTCTTTAAGGACTATACCAGACAATAAAGGATTTTTATTTATTTACAAATAACGTGATTTTTTTTATTCCCAGCCTCCGAGCTATGCTATAGATGACTGACTTTATTATATATTGTTAGTGCAACTTTATATAAGGTGTTGAGCAGGTTAAAATTCCCTGGTGGCAAAAATACAACACCCAGAACACAAAAGCTTTGAAACTACTAAATATATATCATTTCTGACGTTTTCTCCTTTAGAATTTCCTCTAGAAATATATCTTTGGACATGCCCTACCTATATATTTACCTTAACAATTCCTTTCACAAGCTCGTTTGTGGCAGCATTAAATACACTATCTGACATACCCGTTCAATGTACGGGAAAGACAGAGGACTCCCAAGAGTGACATGGGGAGAGATCAAATTCAAACGATGACTCATCTTTGTTACTTCCTGGATGTTCCGCGTGGTATGCAAGATTTGGTGACAATCGGCCCAGCGGTTCGTCATTTATAAACGCGCACACACAGAGAGTTTTGTCAAATAATGGTTTAAATTCTTGCTTATGCGCTTTTACTTGCTTATGAGTTACCTAAATGATCTAATCCCACAACAAAGTCGTTCAATAAAGTTCACAATAGATCCTTAAGCCTGTGGAAACGTACGTTCAGCTAACCGACCACGCGCTCTATGTACATAACAGACACTTTACATAAACAGCATAACATCTTCGCTCTAGCCCCCAGTGGCACAGCGGTATGTCTGCGGACTTACAACGCTAGAATCCGGGTTTCGATACCCGTGTTGGGCAGAGCACAGATAGCTCATTGTGTAGTTTTGTGCTTAATTACAAACAAACAAACAAACAAATATTCGCTCTAATATCAATAGCTTTCTGTGAACATTAATACAGCTATAGTTAACTGTTTTCTTAATGTGTGTTTTTTTCTCTTTTAATAACTGTATCTGGAATCAGATTTTAACATACATAGTTTGTAATGAAATGATTTTTTATCGTAGTTGTTATGTATTTTATCTTCTTTTGATAATACTTATAAAAATATTATGCATAACATTTTTTCATTCTACGTTTGTATATTGATGTTAATTTTTCAATAGATTAAACGTGTAGTTCGAGTATTCCAAGTCAACAAGCTTGAGTTCTTTTTGAACAGATAAAATTTAACAAAATGGAAACGTCAGATTCTGCCGGGTTTAAAAAAGTTGTATGCACGTTTCGAAATACCCTCTTTGGTTTCACAAAATTAGTCTTGGGAAAAATGTGGTAAAGTTATCTGCAGGATTAATTGATGCGCTGAAGATTATTTTTTTAATTGTGAAACTAGAAACCGAAACCTAAACTTAGATGTTAGATTAACGGAACCTTTTCTCAACCCCACTTTTGTAGAAGAACATTGTTTAGTTAAAAGTAATTGTAAATTTGTTTTTAAGCTGAAATTTTACGGCTTGAAAAAATGACTGAAAATATACAATGACCTTGTTTATTTGTTAACAAAATCTTAGTTCTGATTGGCTCATCCCATGTCGCCATCTTATAATCGTTTCTGTTTGTTTTATCAGTTTCCTTTTGCATAATATCGAGTTATTATTTCGTATCTCCTGTAACTCTATTCATAACGTACATTCTTTGTCTTTCTTTAATCTGAAACATTTCATTTTTTTCCTTATTACGTAATATATACACACTACTTTACTCCCTCTTGTTCTCGTTTACATTACACATCGTATATTTCGGGCTCTTGTAACATTTATGGAAATATTCCCTTGAAATATATATGTTGCCAGGAATTGAGATGAAGATTGTTTCGTAAAACGTTGCCCACGGAATTCTTCTTTCTTTTCAGATATTTTAACAATTTCATTGTATATTCGCCTTTAACTTAACCCTAACTGTTCTTCGATTATTGTTTACAATCGCTGAATACACCTTTCAAATGTTTCTAAGTGTGGTTAACCTATTTAATATAACTGAATATGTAATCAAGTTTCACAGTAATATTCACGAAACGCACAGAAATATAAAATTAACAGCGAACTTTACTGAAAGTGTCAGAAATTAAAGTCGTATAGTTTTCGTCTTATATTGATATAAGGTAAATTGTTTCTTTATTGAGTTTCTCGCAAACTTATACGAGGGCTCGCCGTCTTAATTTTGAAGTGATAAACCAGAGGGAAGGTTGTTAGTCAACATCGCCAGCTATTCTCTTTACCAGCGAATAGTAGGATTGACCGTAACATTATAACGCCCCCACGGCAAAGAAAAAGGATGTTTGGTGAGGGGATTCGAACCCACGACATGCAGATTGCGAGCCCAGTGGCACAACCACCAGGCCATACGAGACCTCTAGTAATAATCCTTAAAGCTTAAAGTCGTATTGTTTACATATTGACTTAACGGCCAAAGGTCAGAGATAGAAATCGCATAGCTTCCGTCGCGATCTAGAGTTAAGGTCAAAAAAAAAAAAGTGTATCTGCAAAGAAATGTCGGCAAAAAAAGAAGGTATTTATTTCCCTTTTTACACAATTATCGGACAGGCTTTATATGCTTATCGGCAAGAAAAAGATTAGGGAACAGGAGAATAAAGATTGTGCGGTTGTCTGCGGTTAACGTTTCTATTGACGGTGTTTGTCTACTGATGCGAAAGCTGAGCCTGTATGACGGAAGGATCGATTTCTACAGTTTATTAATATTAATATTCGAAACTTTCTCTTTTCTACCCCAGTGATACAAAGTTTCTAATTAATTTTAACTCCAGGTATTCAACCTCGAGTATTATGCTCCTTTCACAACACACACACACATACATATATATATGGAATAACAATTCTGAAAGTTTGTCAGACTTTTGTGTAAATGATGTAACAAAACTGTTGTCAAGGCATCAAATACACTTCAGACACACGCACCAGTTTACAATAGAACAACGACAATGGGATAAAACATTAAGATCAATTTTGCTTAACTCTCATATTACCGACTTGTTTTAAGATTTTTCCACTGCCGGTAAGGTTCATATATTACAGCAAATTGGTAGATTTTGTTGTTAACATATTACCGACTTGTTTTAAGATTTTTCCACTGCCGGTAAGGTTCATATATTACAGCAAATTGGTAGATTTTGTTGTTGTTGTTTTTTTTCGCGGCGGTATGTCTGCGGACTTACAACGCTAGAAACAGGGTTTCGATACTCGTGGTGGGCAGAGCACAGATAGCCCATTGTGTAGCTTTGTGCATAATTACAAACAAACAACATCCCCCCAAAAAAGGGTGAAATTAGTTATTTGATATGTTAAATATATATAAATGACCGCAACAACAATTAGTTGTGGCGTTTTTGTTGATTTTGTGTGTTATTAGAGACCCTGTAACCACTAAAATCATGGACCCACAAGCAATTCGGTGCATAAGTGGTTTAGAAAATTTGAAATACAATAATTCTAATGTTAAGAAACTATAAAAACATACATACATGTTCATAACTTCAAGTTTCACGGCTGTAATACAACTCCCATCATTCTCTTGCCAAACCACTCAACCGCTCATTGCCTTCTTACCTACAACGCTAAAATCTGGGGTGGACTCCACTAAAAACAAACAAATATCAGGAGTCGTTAACTATGGGTTAAGAAGTTAAATGCCTTTCGCGCGTATTTTACATAACATTATCTACTCTAAATAACAAAATCTGCGGTACTTGTACAGAGCTAATTACGAACATATGACAATGGATGATGATGCAAGTGACAGCATTCTAAAGATAATTCCTTTAAAAACAGAATAATTATCTGAAATTTGAATTTATAATCTCGCACATTAATCAAACGTTTCATTTGTTAGTGAATCTGTCTCGATAATTAGACAGTATAGATAAGTTTTCCCCTGCTTGTTTTGATTACTTTCATGAAATACGGGACTAAATCATGCAGATTTTTCAGGTTCTGAAGTTACTCGTTCATTAATCTTTATTTCTTTACAAAATGTATGCTAGCTTATTACATTTCATCACAGTGCATCTTCAGTTTCAGGGTTAACAAATGAAATGCCAGCACCCTGACATACTGATATACAAATTATTGAAAAAATTAAATGACTTAAAAACTCGAACACTTTCAAAGAGTGGTCTTTGAACCATTTTTCGAAAGCGACTGAGTTTTTGGATCATTTATGTGGAGCGTTCTCAGTAAATGGGATAAGTCTGCCTATAAAATTGTATTCTTAGCCAGTAGCGGCGTCACTGCTTGGACTATCCTACCATCCAGACTTCAAGTGCCCAAGAAAATATGAGGATTTTAAGTTTACGGCTGCAACTTGAACTACATTATCACAGCATCCAGAACACATCGTCTTAATAATTAATAAAACTAAAATCTTATTTTTATTTGCAACATTGCATTATAACTTATTCCTCCGACATATACATATATATATATAGAGAGAGAGAGAGAAAGAGATGGAGAAATGAGCCACCTGCCTTCATATCCATCTCCATGATTTTTTTCAGGAGGAGTGGGCGTTTCTGAAATCAGTAACACATGTAGGCCTAAGTAATCCTGAGTCAGTAGCATTGCAGTACCACATGATTCAGAGCAAAGTTCATGTCAGATTGAAAGTGATTATGGATATAAAAGTATAACGCCACGTTCGCCAGTTTTCGCAGCACTCAATTTAATTTTCTGCGACTATCAAAATGCAGCTTTGATTCAAAAGGGGGGAGGATGTTGCTGCTTCATAAAGGCTAAAGGGGGGGAGGGTGTTGCTGCTTCATAAAGGTTAAAGGGGGAGGGTGTTGCTGCTTCATAAAGGCAATGCTTTATTTCTCAGACACTTAATTTTTTAACATTAATTTGTACTTAGCTGTTGTAAACGTCGTATAATATAGGAGATAGCAAGATGATATAAAACGGGCAAGCGCAGTCGCCATCTGATGGCAATACTATACCAACCAAATTGACCTTCCTTTAAAAACAAATTGGATATATACATATTTTTAACACAAATCAAACTACAGGATCATTTGAATATTTCCTACCGGAATGTTTATGTAATAAAATATATTTATAAATTAAATAAGAAAAAAAAACATAAAGCTTTTATTATAGCTCTGTCTCAATTAAACATTGATAGAGAAATTGAAGACAATCTAAGAACAAATTTTGTCTTTCTTTTTATGGCAAAAAAAATTATTAGCTATTTTTACTGCAGCGCCAGCTATTATTTAAATGTCATAAATATATGCTCAATTTGAGGGAAACCGGCTTTACTTTTCCTACAGCACCAGTGGCCAAAATATAAAAATAGCTCACCCTGTAATAAATAAAATAACACTTTGAATTATGAGCATACCTCATTATCTCTTGAGGTCAAAATTTAAAGATACAATCTCATCAAAAAATAAATTGTTTGCCATGATAAGATAGTAACGTGAGAGATAATGGTGTAGCAGAGAGACTGGTATTTGTTTTGTTTACGTTATTTAAGCGGCTCAAGCATGACTTTGTAAAAGGACGAAAGACCGCTTAAAACTACTCGTTACTGTACAGCAGTTTCTTTAATTGTATAAACTACAGGCTCACATAATTTCTGTAACATCACTCTAACAACAGCTCCTACAGTGAAAGTAGAATTTTGGACAAAGAATTTTATTATATGTTAAGCGAAAACATTAAATTGGCTCTAGTGAAACAAAAAAAAACACAATTACATAGTTATTACTTACCAGCGATATTTGGTTGAAACTATTTATATAGAAATTTGAGACTGGTTTTTACGATTCATTTTAGACCTTTATAAACCTGTTCACAGAAAACTGGGTACCGTGTTTTTTTTATACATGGTTGTTACTCACCAGTGATAACTTGGTTGAAACTATTTGTGTAGGAATTTGAGATTGGTTTTTACGATTCATTTTAGACCTTTATAAACTTGTTCACAGAAAACTGGGTATCGTGGTTGTTTTCGAATTGTGCAACATGTCAATACTTCTGTGTTATTTTCTATAAACTAGACCTAATATTTATATTCGGAGCCTCACAACACACGAACATAATCTTTTCTGACAAGTAGAAGAAATTGAAATAGTTTTATTTGAAAAGAAACATGTTTCCTGTTCAAACAAAACAGGAATTTGATGAGAAAAGCAGCGCTCTTTTAAAGTCATCAAGGTGTTTTATGTTACTTATGTTTGCAGGGTCTATCATTTTATGTTACTTATGTTTACAGGATCTATGATTTTATGTTACTTATGTTTACAGGATCTATCATTTTATGTTACTTATGTTTACAGGATCTATGATTTTATGTCACTTATGTTTACAGGATCTATGATTTTAAGTCACTTATGTTTACAGGATCTATGATTTTATGTTACTTATGCTTACAGGGTCTATTATTTTATGTTACTTATGTTTACAGGGTCTATCATTTTATGTTACTTGTGTTTACAAGATCTATGATTTTATGTCACTTATGTTTACAGGATCTATGCTTTTAAGTCACTTATGCTTACAGGATCTATGATTTTAAGTCACTTATGTTTACAGGATCTATGATTTTATGTTACTTATGCTTACAGGATCTATGATTTTATGTTACTTATGTTTACAGGGTCTATTATTTTATGTTACTTATGTTTACAGGATCTATGATTTTATGTTACTTATGTTTACAGGATCTATCATTTTATGTTACTTATGTTTACAGGATCTATGATTTTATGTCACTTATGTTTACAGGATCTATGATTTTATGTTACTTATGCTTACAGGGTCTATCATTTTATGTTACTTGTGTTTACAGGGTCTATTATTTTATGTTACTTATGTTTACAGGGTCTATCATTTTATGTTACTTATCATACATTTATTTCCTTTTAATTTATCCATTCAACCTTTTAAATTTTAATAAAAAACAAACCGACAACTCTCAGTTTGTTGCCGCAAATTTAAACGAACTAGGCATAAAGTAGATCTTCCAAACAAACAAACTTAATATAAAACGTTAAAGTTACCAATCATCTGGCGACAACTTTACAAGAAGCATTGACATTTCTTAGGCTGCTTAAAGATAATCGGAATTTTGAAAGTAGCTCTAAGCTCAGATGTTAGTTTATAATTTGTTTGCGGGTAACTTGACAATATACAGTTTTACGTAGTTTTGCTAATTACTTATATACTGCAACGAATTATTATTATGAGCAAAGAATCAAATAGGTATGTTTGCACACACACTCGTACTCAATATTCTGCCGATTAACTACAAACTAAATACCATTAAAATTGACTTTTAGTGTCTGTGGGTTGTAAAAAGCAGACATGTTTACACATGAACAGGCGCTTTCATACTCAATACCCTACCGACTATCTACAAGGTAAATACAATTAAAACTTGAGTTTTAGTTTCTGTGGGTTGTAAAAAACAGATATGTTTACACACGGACAGACGCTTTCATACTCAATACTCTACCGACTATCTACAAGGTAAATACAATTAAAACTTGAGTTTTAGTTTCTGTGGGTTGTAAAAAGCAGATATAGTTAATACCCTACCGACTAACTACAAGGTAAGTGCAACCATTAGATCAAGAGTTTTAGTTTCTGTGGGTTGTAAAAAGCAGATATGTTTACACACGGACAGACGCCTTCATACTTAATACCCTACCGACTAACTACAAGGTAAGTACAACCATTAGATCAAGAGTTTTAGTTTCTGTGGGTTGTAAAAAGTGTTTCGTAATGAAAATTTAATGTCATTGATTTAAATACTAAAACATAAAGTACAAGATTAAGAGAGGAAACTACTGAAAAACACAATTTTTGAATGACGATGGAAAGGAATGAACCTTTTATTACTGCTGGTGTTATATGCTTTGTTTTGAATGAAGATAGAAAGGAATGTACCTTTTTTCTATTTACTTGATGGTGTTATATGCTTTGTTTTGAATGAAGATGGAAAGGAATGTACCTTTTTTTCTATTTACTTGCTGGTGTTATATGCTTTGTTTTGAACCCAGTTATTATTTCAATACAACCCTTCTAATTAAAAGAGATGATTCAACTGGATTAGCTGGTATTCGAAGTATCTCAGTAATGACATAAAACGCGGAGATATCTAAACGAGCCTGGCTAACTATATTTTTTTGGATACAGTTGATCCCCACTCCCCTCAGGAATTCAGTTAGCTTAAAAGAGTCCATCTATCCTTACGTTCATCAATTTTTCCGGACAAGTATCAGCAGCTGCGTACACCTATACTGACTGACCATTAGTTTATTAGGTCGCCAGGCAGTCGGTCCTTCTTCATTCAGCTGATTGTCTGTCACTTACTTCTATCCGTTTCACAGTTCAGACGTCTATCTCTTACTCACTGCGTTTCTTTCCCTACCAGTTGTTTATTTTTACAAAAAGAAAATGCTGTATAGCAAATGTGTAAAGTATGGGGCAAAAAGTAGATAAGATTATTTAACTTTTAGTCACTTTCAAACGTTATACTCTTAAGTTAACTGTATTGTAGTTCTTTGTAACGCATATTATTAAATGATCTGGACATATGAAACACAAAAATATATCTATCCTAAATACTGTGTTTT